ATGTAGGAAACATTATAATATGAACATTATAAAATAGGGAACCTTATACGATGGACATTATTACTGTATATGGACATTTTGATGTAGAAAACATTATTATATGAACATTTTGATGCAGAAAACATTATTATATGAGCATTTTGATGCAGAAAACATTATTATATGAACATTTTGATGCAGGAAACATTATTATATGAACATTTTGATGTAGAAAACATTATTATATGAACATTTTGATGTAGTAGAAAACATTATTATATGAACATTTTGATGTAGAAAACATTATTATATGAACATTTTGATGTAGAAAACATTATTATATGAACATTTTGGTGTAGAAAACATTATTATATGAACATTTTGATGTAGAAAACATTATTATATGAACATTTTGATGTAGAAAACATTATTATATGAACATTTTGATGTAGAAAACATTATTATATGAACATTTTGATGTAGAAAACATTATTATATGAACATTTTGATAAAGGAAACATTATAATTTGAGCACCTTAATGAAGGGTATATTATAATTTGAGCAATTTGATGAAGGAAACATTATTATATGAACATTCTGATGAAAGAAACATTTTTATATGGCCATTTTGATGAAAAAATCCTTACAATATGACCATTTTAGTTTAAACATATTTTATTTAGAATATTTTTACAAGCGTAAGTAACAACATAACAATAATTATAGATTTTGTGAGAAAACATTATCATATGAACATTTTGATGTAGAAAACATTATTATATGAACATTTTGAAAACTTATATATGTAGAAAACATTATAATATGAACATTTTGATGTAGAAAACATATTATATGAACATTTTGATGTAAAAAAACATTATTATATGAACATTTTGAGGTAGAAAAAAATATTATATGGACATTTTGATGTAGAAAACATTATTATATGAACATTTTGATGTAGAAAACATTATCATATGAACAATTTGGTGTAGAAAACATTATTATATGAACATTTTGATGTAGAAAACATTATTATATGAACATTTTGATGTAGAAAACATTATAATATGAACATTTTGATGTAGAAAAGATTATTATATGAACATTTTGATAAAGGAAACATTATAATTTGAGCACCTTAATGAAGGGTATATTATAATTTGAGCAATTTGATGAAGGAAACACTATTATATGAACATTCTGATGAAAGAAACATTTTTATATGGCCATTTTGATGAAAAAATCCTTACAATATGACCATTTTAGTTTAAACATATTTTATTTAGAATATTTTTACAAGTGTAAGTAACAACAAAACAATAATTCTAGATTTTAGCCGAAACCAGAGCAGTTTGAATTTTTGATGTAGGAAACATTATGATAAGAACATCATTATATAGGAAACATTATACATTAATTGTAATACCAACATTATTATATAGGAAACATTATACATTGTAATACGAATATTATTATATAAGAAACATTATACATTGTAATTCGAATATTAATATATATGAAAACATTATAATACGAACATTATTATATAGGGAACATTATACATTGTAATACGAACATTATTATATAGGAAACATTATACATTGTAATACGAACATTATTATATAGGAAACATTGTAATACGAACATTATTATATAGGAAACATTATACATTGTAATACGAACATTATTATATAGGAAACATTATACATTGTAATTCGAATATTATTATATAGGAAACATTGTAATACGAACATTATTATATAGGAAACATTATACATTGTAATTCGAATATTATTATATAGGAAACATTGTAATACGAACATTATTATATAGGAAACATTATACATTGTAATTCGAATATTATTATATAAGGAACATTATAATATGAACATTATTATATGAATATTTGATGTATAAAATTCTATGATATGAACAATTTGATGTTGGCAACAAATAAAATAGTAAAAATTATCACTCTAAATATGTGGTTTATCTGGCATTTCCAGCATAGGTTGTGCAAAGAAAATAACGTAATCTAGTAAAATTTACAAGTGTATGAATATCGTTAAGGCCACCTTTCTAAGCATATTTGGATCTGAAGCTACGATATCAAGGGGGAGTAACTGTTTACACGAAATCGAGTTTTATGATACTCGTTGGCAGTTATCATTAAGTAACTCAAACGATGTTTCATAAGACGTCCATCTTCTGTGAAAATTTTCTCATACACGTTGAGATCACTGAAATAGGTATTGTCGTACCTTACGCGGTTTTGTGCACGGGCATTACAACTAAATAAGATCCTAACGTATTTCCAGAACTCCTTGAGTTCATAAGAACACAAATTCAAAACGGAGATCATTTTGATTCTTTAACAATGTATTTCGACATACGTTTGCACGCGACAATACTAAAAATAGCGCTACACCCGTCCATTTTGTCCTTACCAACAAACAGGAATTAATACAGGTTTACAAATATGAATGATAAAGATCAAATTAGCGCTCTCATTTTCGGAAAGAGAAGGTTACTAATTTCAACTTCGAAAACCCGGCTGAACGGCGATTCCTAGCATTTTTGAAAATGCTAATTATCCCCCGCCGAAAGGCGGCGGGGACCGTCCGCCCGTCCTTTCGTCCGTCCTTCCGTCTCACATTTTTGTCCGGAGTATATCTCAAAAGTATTTGAGGTATCAACTTGAACTTTCATAGGTGGATAGATCATATTGAGGAGAAGTGCAGTGCACAAGAATGATAACTCTACCCCGCATAATAATTCAGTTGTTGCCCTGTGTTATTTTTCAAACTTAATTTTTGTCCAGAGCATAACTCAAAAAGCCTTTGAGAGATCAACATGAAACTTCATAGGTGGATAGATCTCACTCAGGAAGTGTGAAGTGCACAAGAATAGTAACTCTACCCTTCATAATTTTTGAGTTATTGCCCTTTGTTATTTTTCATACTTAATTTTTTACCTGAGTGGAGCATAACTCAAAAAGTCTTTGAAATGTCAACATGAAAGTACATAGGTGGATTTATCTTATTGAGGAGGAATGCTGTGCGCAAAAATGATAACTCTACCCTTTATAATTTTTTAGTTATTGCCCTTTGTTATTTTTCATACTTTTTGTCCTGAGCTTATCTCAAAAAGTGTTAGAGGTATCAACTTGAAACTTTATAGGTGGATAGATCTCATTGAGGAGGAGTGCAGCACACAAGAATGATAACATACCCTGCATTATTTTTCAGTTATTGCCCTTTGTTATTTTTCACGTAGGTTTCAAATCTGTAATCACTTCAGCCATCAGGTTTTATTACCAAAATACCGCTTAAAATTGAATTATTCTGCTCTACTACATATACATTTTTTTTGAGCAAACACATTTGGGGGATGGCCATGTTAACATTGCTCTTGTTATACTTGTTTTAACAATACTTTTGTGTATTGAAACTTTTTTTGGGACATGCATATTTAAACATTTATACAGTACTGACAGAAACATATATTGTTTTGTTTGATGAACGTCAAAACTTACAGATGTGAAAAAATGAACAGAAAAACCTGTTAAATCTTAGTACGTGTCCAGTTTTATATCTTCAATAAATTCGTCAAATCAGAAGCTAGGAAGCTGATACCAAGTGTGTTATAAATATTTCATTAAAACATGGGCATATTCACGCCCGGCAAACTGTCGCTCCACTTCAAAATTGTGGTGTACGGTAAAACGAGCGAACGGCATTTCCGAGATAGAGCGGAAGGCCGATTTAAACGCCTAATTGTCTCGGAAATGCCGTTCGCTCGTTTTACCGTACACCACAATTTTGAAGTGGAGCGACAGTTTGCCGGGCGTGATATTCAAAAAATTCAAAATACATTGTATTATACAAACTCTTTTACCTTGAGAAAATACGTGCTGCGTTAAGAATATTCACGACTCGATCGGTTGTCATTTTGTTAAGTTTGAAATCATTTCGCTCGCTTGAACCAAGTGTGCAACCACTTCACGTGCTGCCCCATGTTTAATACCACATTATCGTTTTTGTTGCATCATGACCTCACCACGGTTCCAAGTTACCGCATTTCGTTATCGAAGTTGCATGACACGTGTGATTTCACCATTGTGGCGGCGAATTTCATTATCACATTCAAAAGAGATTACCTTTACGGGTTTCCGTACAGTTATCTTGATGCGTGTATATATGATAAAAAAAAAATGCAGCGAAATTTGATGACTTTTGTGTTTAAAAGTGGGTCAATGTTATGAAACAATTTATAAAGAACATTAGAGAGATAACTTTCATAAAGAGATCTTGGTGCGTACGTTTATTTTTGTTACTTTATTTCTTAAATATTTATGTTTTTTTTTGTTTAGAGAAAAAGTCACACTTTTTATTATGAAGTGAAATATTGAGAAATGTTGATGAAATAAAATGCATATTTTAATTTACCACATTTTCACTGTAGAAATAATTGTTCACTGTAGTAATAGGAATTTACCGTATTTTATTTGGTATCCTGCTCTAAATTCAGCCAATACACAAAATGAAATGGGAAATTTTACTTGTGATTCGTGAGGTCGAAAAAGAGTATAAGTAGAAAAGGTATATGATAAACAGAAAATTCAAGTTTTTCCATAAGTTCTGGATTATTTTCGTCATATTTCATTCTCGTCAAATATGTATTTTCATACCACTCCATAAAGATAAATCCTGTATTTGTAGAAAAACTTGAATATCCTCTACTGTTTTTTTTTCTTCTTCTTCGTAAAAAAACTTACGGATCCTTCAGGAACCTGAAATTAAAAAAAAAAAAAAAAAAAAAAAAAAAAAAAAAAAAAAAAAAAAAATAAAATAAATAAAAGCAGAATATCATATTTAAACAATTATGGCAAAATGTAAAGTTATTTTGACTTTATTTGTACGCGCGCCCTTCACAATTTCATAGTCATAAAGTTTCACTTAATATATATAAACGGGGTTACCCAGTTTTGGCCTCAAAAAAAAAAAAAGTTTATAGTTATATAACACAATAAAATATTCGTGTTTTATACAATGTTACTCTGGGTATAAAGTTTATCACTTTCAAAAGAGAAGGCCCTTACGGATTTCCATACAAACTACAAAATGTATACACTCCGTGACATTTGATAATGTGACTTTTCGTGTGTAAATGGGTCAGTGTTGAAAAAGTAGGTTATTTAACGAATCGGCGTAAGTTTATTCATTGTTTTTTCTTTAACTTTGCTCTTTTCGTACCTAGATTTTTCGTACATGTCCCTTACGTTTCAAGTACTATTTTTTAACACATGCGCTTGTACATAATGTGCACTAAACGCATTTAGAATGTATGTTAATTATTCTGAAATGGTTATCCAAAGGATGCTATGTACATTAACCTAACATACTTTGAATCGACTAAGTGCACTTTTTTTGACGTCTGTTGAGTAGAGTCGATGAACATCCTGCATTTTAACTCACAAATTAATACATTTTCATTTGATATCCACAGTGATGAATCTGCTTATCTATGATCATAACATAGGACTGGCAATAAGGACTGCGCCACACTAAGTCTATGCCTCTAAAAAATCTCAACAGCCTTAAAATCGCAGATTTTAAGAAATTTCAAACTGTTACTTTAATTGAATTTGGAATATTTGAGGATTTGAAAAACCGACTTATGGTTTACTGACAGCAAACTTCAGAAGCATTTATTAGAGAACCGTCGATGTTAAAAATCACTCACTTTTAAAATTTAAGATTAACTCTCTATAATAACTTGTACATGTCACATGTACCAAACGCGCCTCTATACTGTTGTCTGCTGAATCAGAGAATAGATAGAAATCCTCAAACACTCAATCGATGGTTCAAAATTAAAAGCAGGGTTCATTCCCATATCCCATTACGTCAAAAGAAAAATAGTGTGTCGCAGACTGAATGGAAAAATTAGAACAAAAGGCTTTTTTTTTGTTTGCTTTGTTTTAATACCTTGACATGCAATTTTCTTCCTCTAGAGTTTGAAACAACAAAAATGGCTGAACAAAATGAAAAGCCTCTTCTCAAACTAAAACCAGCTACAGTACAAAGGGATAGCAATGTTTAATGTGAAATAGATGACATAGAAAATATGGAGACAAGAGAGGATGAATATATGGGTATGCAGCTTTTTCCAAGGTCAGGTTAGTCCTAACTTTTTGCAAATGATCAAACAATTATTTCACAGTTCAAGCTTTGCAAATGATACTTCAACAACTTTGCAATATACACAATTACTTCACAGTTCAACTTTGCAAATGATACAAAATTACTTCACAGTTCAACTTTGCAAATGATACAACAATTACTTTCACAGTTCAACTTTGCAAAAATGATACAACAATTTCTTCACAGTTCAACTTTGCAAATGATACAACAATTTCTTCACAGTTCAACTTTGCAAATGATACAACAATTTTCTTCACAGTTCAAACTTTGCAAATGAATACAACAATTTCTTCACAATTTCAACTTTGCAAATGATAGCAATAAGGCGCGGACACCAGCCATGCTCTTAAAAATTTCCAAGCAAAGCCTTAACAACGCAGATTTTAAATTTAACTGTTACTTTAATTTAAATTTGATATTTGACGGTTTTAGAAACCGACTTGATGTTTACTGACAGCAAACACTTCAGAAGCATGTTATTAGAGAAGTCGAATGTTAAAAAAAATCACCACTTTTAAAAATTATAAATTAACTCTCCATAATAACTTGTACATGTCACATGTACCAACCCGCCTCTATACTGTTGTCTGCTGAATCAGCTAGAGAATAGATAGAAATCCCTCAAACACTCAATCGATGGTTCAAAATTAAAAGCAGGGTCATTCCATCCCATTACGTCAAAAGAAAAATAGTGTGTCGCAGACTGAATGGAAAAATTAGAACAAAAGGCTGTTTTTGTTTGTTTTAATACCTTGACATGCAATTTTCTTCCTCTAGAGTTTGAACAACAAAAATGGCTGAACAAAATGAAAAGCCTCTTCTCAAACTAAAACCAGCTACATACAAAGGGATAGCAATGTTTGAATGTGAAATAGATGACATAGAAAAGATGGAGACAAGAGAGGATGATATATGGGTATGCAGTTTTCCAAGGTCAGGTTAGTCTAACTTTGCAAATAATCAAACAATTATTTCACAGTTCAACTTTGCAAATGATACAACAATTACTTCACAGTTCAACTTTGCAAATGACCCAACAATTACTTTACAGACCAACTTTGCAAGTGATCCAACAATTACTTCACAGTTCAACTTTGCAAATGATACAACAATTTCTTCACAGTTCAACTTTGCAAATGATACAACAATTTCTTCACAGTTCAACTTTGCAAATGATACAACAATTTCTTCACAGTTCAACTTTGCAAGTGATCCAACAATTACTTCACAGTTTAACTTTGCAAATGATACAACAATTTCTTCACAGTTCAACTTTGCAAATGATACAAAAATTTCTTCACAGTTTAACTTTGCAAGTGATGAAACAATTTCTTCACAGTTCAACTTTGCAAAGATACAACAAATACTCCACAGTTCAACTTTGCAAATGATACAACAATTACTTCACAGTCCAACTTTGCAAATGATCCGACAATTACTTCACAGTTCAACTTTGCAAATGATCCTACAATTACTTCACAGTTCAACTTTGCAAGTGATCCAACAATTACTTCACAGTTCAACTTTGCAAATGATACAACAATTTCTTCACAGTTCAACTTTGCAAATGATACAACAATTTCTTCACAGTTCAACTTTGCAAATGATCATACAATTACTTCACAGTTCAACTTTGCAAATGATCCAACAATTACTTCACAGTTCAACTTTGCAAATGATCCAACAATTACTTCACAGTTCAACTTTGCAAGTGATCCAACAATTACTTCACAGTTCAACTTTGCAAATGATACAACAATTTCTTCACAGTTCAACTTTGCAAATGATACAACAATTACTTCACAGTTCATCTTTGCAAATGATACAACAATTTCTTCACAGTTCAACTTTGCAAATGATACAACAATTTCTTCACAGTTCAACTTTGCAAATGATACAAAAAAATTCTTCACAGTTCAACTTTGCAAGTGATCAAACAATTTCTTCACAGTTCAACTTTGCAAATGATACAACCATTACTTCACAGTTCATCTTTGCAAATGATACAACAATTACTTCACAGTTCATCTTTGCAAATGATACAACAATTTCTTCACAGTTCAACTTTGCAAATGATACAACAATTTCTTCACAGTTCATCTTTGCAAATGATACAACAATTTCTTCACAGTTCAACTTTGCAAAGATACAACAAATACTCCACAATTCAACTTTGCAAAGGATCATACAATTACTTCACAGTTCAACTTTGCAAATGATCCAACAATTACTTCACAGTTCAACTTTGCAAATGATCCTACAATTACTTCACAGTTCAACTTTACAAATGATACAACAATTTCTTCACAGTTCAACTTTGCAAATGATACAACAATTACTTCACAGTTCAACTTTGCAAACGATACAACAATTTCTTCACAGTTCAACTTTGCAAACGATCATACAATTACTTCACAGTTCAACTTTGCAAATGACCCAACAATTACAATTGGTTTTTAGTAAGACATGAAAAATATATGAAGCTGATTAAATTAATAAAATAGCAAAATTATAGGACTTTAAATTTACTATTTTGAATTTCATTATCACATATAACTGAATTTTCTAATACAAAAGCATAATATTAATTATCACAATTTATTCTTTATTATCTTTCATAATTATACATGTAGTAGCTGCTATTTACCTGTATTTTTTCATTTCTTCACATTATTTTTTCAATTTCTTAATTTTCACACTTAATAACAAGTGTTTGATATGCTTGACAGGTTGTAATTCTAATAAGTGTCAAAATAAATGGTTACTGTTAATTGGAAGATACTGACATTTTGGAGGTTTTTCAATTACAAGTGTAATATTCCTTCACACATTTTTAATTTCCGGATTTTGGAAGTAAATTTTAATTGATATAAACCAAATTTTACCAAAAAATCGTTCAGAAATCAAAATTTAGAAGTTCCGTAATTCAGAGGTTTTGATTACCTAGAAAACAGAAGGAGAAATTTCTGGACCCTAAAAATGTACGGATTTTAGAAGTTTCCGGATTTTAGAAGTTCCGGAATTCAGAAGTTACACTGTACTTCACAGTTCAACTTTGCAAGTGATCTAACAATTACTTTACAGTTCAACTTTGCAAATGACCCAACAATTACTTCACAGTTCAACTTGCAAATGACCCAACAATTACTTTACAGTTCAACTTGCAAATGACCTAACAATTACTTCTTAGTTCAACTTTGCAAATGATCATACAATTACTTCACAGTTCAACTTTGCAAATGATCATACAATTACTTCCCAGTTCAACTTTGCAAATGATCATACAATTACTTCCCAGTTCAACTTTGCAAATGATACAACAATTACTTTACAGTCTCCTTCCATTGGTGTTATGTGCAAATAATTAACTCATTTTGAGACAATGATTGCAACATGCAATAAAGCTTTGCAGGACTTTACGCAGATGAGTTTAGTTTTTGTTAATATGATAAACATTGTATCACAGTCTACGTACGTTTGTTAAAGGCACATTATGCCTCAAATTTGAAAAAGAAAGTTCTTCTTTAGAAAAATCAAACATGAGTAAACATTTAATTAATGGTTTTAGAGCAAGTTAGATGCTTGTTACTTTCATAACAGTCGCAATTAATATGTAATCAAAGTAGTATTTTGACTTTCATACAAATTACTCAAGCACTATGTTTGTACTAATTTCCAGAAAGCATTTAACAGAAGCAAAATATGGTTCAGATAATTGGCCATGAGTATGTTTTGAAAACTATTACAGGACAACAAAAATTAAAAAAAAAAGTTTTTTGATAAATGAAAATAAAACTATTTCTAAGGCATAATGGGCCTGTAAGCAAATAATTTTCAAACTGCTTTAATTTGTGAATAGTGAACATGATTGTGATTTTTGAAAATGATTACGTACTGCTTTACAATTTGTGTAATCAATTAACTTATGTATGCTAAATTAATTTGCAGTTTCACTTCGCAAAAAAGTATCATTCGGATATGTTTGACATATTGCTCTATATGTTTTTTTTCTAATAATATGACAATCAGATCATGAGTACTAATAAGCAATTTAATTATTTTCTATATCTTTTAGGAACCACACTAATGCAAGAAATAACCTATTTAGTACAAACACTGGACTTCGAAACTGCCAGGTCGGTCCAGTTGGATTCGAGATTCCCGCAATTGGAACAAAAGAATGACCAGTTTCCTTATTATAAAGGTGAGGTTCTCACGAAAGACGTTAATTAATTTCGACTGTGAACTACTTTTGACATTTGCTATTGATTTATAATCATACGACTTCCTTACAGTCACTTTAAGTGTACAGATCAACCTCAACAGAGCGAACCTCTGTAAAGAGACCACCTCTTTATAACAACAATTTCACTCATTCCCAATGTACGTTTTTAGAATAAGGATTTTCGCTCAAGAGCAACTACACAGCAACAACCAAAGTGTTTGTCATCAAGAGGGTGTCGCTACACAGAGGTTACAATGTAAAACATGTATAGGCTTCTTGTAAATGATTTCCGTATTTTCTCTGCAGGAGTAAAATATGTGGAAGATATGACGTCACCACGTTTTATTAAGTGCCACTTACATCATTTTATGCTTCCTGTTCAACTACAGAAGGGAAAGGGCAGGGTAATAAAAATAATAATAATATTAACTTTATTTTGAGAATACTTTATATAAAATATGAAAATAACTTTTAATGATAGAAACTAATTGAGATAAAATACTTCTTGTCCATACAAAAAAAAAACCATCAAAAAAAAAAAAAAAAAAAAAAAAAAAAAAAAAAAAAACTAAGATCAAGAAAACGGACAAACCCTTTATTATGAATAACAGGAAATCACAAAAGTCGATGTCTTTGACTGATGTGATTTCTATATTTCCTGTCCATCCATCACAATGTTGACTATGTTGTGTTTCTCAAAGATGCGATGGATACGGCGTTTTGTGTCAAGCCAAGGGAAGTAAAATTATTGCTGTATATTTTAAAATTTTATGACGGTCTCATATCCTATGTAGATATATGAACGATAAATGCTTAAAACCGAGATTGAGGAATGACATCAATTTAATACATTAGAATCCCGCCCCCACACCAAAATAAATGAATGAATGAATAAATGAATAAATGAATGAAAGAATGAATGAATGAATTAATGAATTAATGGAATGAATGAATGAATGAATGGAATGAATGGAATGAATGAATGAATGAATGAATGAATGAATGAATTTATACACATTTAATTTTATCGTTACAGATTATCTACATCGTTCGAAATCCAAAAGACATAGCTACTTCGTTTTATAGGCTGTTAAGATGGGGAGGGCACTTAAAACCCGAAGAATTTGGTGCATTTGTTGAAAGTTTCGTCAACGGCACAGGTAATGCGTGCATGATTATGCATAATAATTATATTAACATTGATATGTAGCGAACGCTTAAATGGAAATATAATGAACATTATGATATATACATTTTGATGAAGGAAACAATAAAAAATGGTTACTCGTGTACATGAATATGAATAATAATACATATATGATTAATATTTTGGTGCGGCGAACATAATTGTATAAATAATTTAATGTAGGAAACTTTAAAATATTAATTATCAATTTGATGAAAGACATAGCGTTTATAAGTTTACCAAAAGTTAAAAACATACTTGAGCCACTTTCGAGTCCGCTTCCTTGAACTAACCAGTAATTGTGCCATATGACGAAACTAGTAGGACTCGAACCCATTACCGATAGGCAGATACTTTAACTACAAGGTCATTGCTACCAATTAATATTTAGACAATCTGAGGTAGGAACATTATGTGCCAATTTGGATATATGGGACAAAATAAAATATTTCATTTTAGGAATGTCTGAACAGAGGATATAGACTTATACTCGTAAATTAATATAATGAAACGTTCAAAAAATGTTTAAATTCTAATTTTCAGGATTATTTTGCCCATGGCCAAGGCATGTGCTAGAGTTCTGGGAAAGACGAAATGATAAAAACGTACTATTCCTTCAATACGAACACGTCGTCAAGGTAATGCTTTTTGATAATAATGTTAGAAATTGCAGCGCCAAATATGATTTTGTAACATGAACCGTGTGTAATTTAAGCAACACCATTTAATAGTCTTTGACATTTTGACATCTTCAATATCAAACAAAAATAGTTTACGTGTGTAATAAAGAATAATCCATTAATCAATCAATCAATCAATGATAAGCCATTCTCAATTCAAGTATATTCTAGTTAATATATCAGAATTTTTTTCATTACCCAACAGGATAAAGCCAAGTGTATAAGACGGGTTGCAGATTTTCTGGGACGCACGTTAACAGATGGCGATGTCGCGAAAATATGTGATTATTGCTCAGTGGAAAATATGAAAAATAACCCCATGTGTAACATGTCATATTGGCGGGAATACACGAAGGTTTTTGACGATGATGGCGGTTTTATCAATCAAGGTACGAAATAAGGGGAGTGGTGGCCTAGTGGTTAAGGTGTCTGCTACTCAACCCAGGGATCATGGGTTCAAGACCTACTCATGTCACGATCATGTTTCCTCAGATGCCACGATTAGCTCCAGGAAGCGGACTCGAAAGTGATTCATATTAATTGCAAGAGATTGTTTCGTAATCGAGCTAATATCAATATATTTAAACCAAACTTAAGTATAATTTAAAATTGTGCGCGTTTCTGTTTCTATACAATTCGACAATTTAGGTCACTATAACATTAGCCTTTGATCTACTGGGTTCATCTAGTTATTGCATTTAGATATTTTCAAACAGTTTCTTTCTGCAATCAGTAAGTTGTACAAATATTACCTTTCACACAACTAAAACTGAAGACCGTAGGTCAGTTTTGTATATATGAATGACGCTGTAACCTTAACGTACGACCTAATTATAATTAATTGGGATAATCTATAGGTCATGACCGATCTACAAAATTTAGGCATAATTTAGGCTTAAGTTATTTCTAGCAATTTAACGTGCAAGCCATTTTTTTTGGTCAGTGTCACTGTGGCCACCATGACTAGTACTGTAAGAAATATATATTGACATTATAATTAATATTGGGCCATCTTATATTTTAAGTCATGACCACTCCGACCACCGATATGAAGATTATAGGCAAAAGCGTACTCTTGTCCTTGACGTTTAAGACGTGATTGCAAAAAAACGCAAAACAGAATGAAGCTTTACGGTTATGATGAACATTGTTTGTAATATTTAAACGTTTAGAAGTAAGGAATATCATTATAGGGTCGATTGTTTTGTTATTAATGAATTTGTATCTGATTTAATTCTATATTTTGTTGTTTTCATTTAGGGAAAGCCGGTGCATGGAAAGATTTATTGACACCAGAAATGGCAAAGAAATTAGAAAAGCTGACTGATGCATTAAAAGGCTCCGGACTCACTCTACTTGATGAATAGGCCTCAATTAAGATCCAACATTTAAAAAATGACTGACCTTATGTAATGATTGATTATACGGTATATGATGAAGTTTGGAACTCTGTTATGTTTATTTTAAATGTTTGTATACCTGGATAACATAGTGGTACATTATCATAAAGTTGTCTTCACGTGTTTAAGCGGACTGGTTTACAATGGACACATTTTCCACAAATATATACATGTACAAAAAAAACAACAAAAAACAACAACAACAACCAACAACAAAAACAGAAATAAACTATTTAGATATTCTTACAAAATATGTCTTGAAAAGAAAATGCTGATAGAATTCTTGTTGATTTAGTTTGAACATTTATACCGTAAATAATTATTTCATTTTTAGAATAATTTATTATTTGCTATAAATAGATCATGTACTTCACGCTTACCATTAGTGTCCTTATACCTTAGTGATATGTTGTCATGTCCGATACTAATTATTATCAACATAATTATTTATGATTTTATACACCTTCTTTTCTGGACTAATTCTCTGAAATAAAAGTATTATTATCATTATATATCTTATAGTTTCCTAATTTAAACAAAGATGTGCATTTTGGTTTCACCATTTCTTATTGTTAATATGTACTATACTGTAGTCTGTCCCATTAAGAATGGAGATGAACTTTTGCCTGATATGATTTAAAAAAAAACGAGGTTGAATAAAAGTTAAACTATTTTTGTATAGTAATTTCATTGTTATGCTACTTACTAGATCTACTAGTAAAAATTATGAGGAAAAAGATTGTAGAATTTTGTCACTGTCTGGTCTGTCTATATATTGAAGGGATTCCACTGACTAGTTTTTTTAACTGAACATGTCCCCCCCCCCACGAAATGTATTACTGTTTTACTGAAAATACTTGGTGAGCCACACATTTGTACGTGTTTTGACCAAAATTAGACAAAAGTGGCGTCCCCTCGCCAAACTGTACAGAAGTGTTTGCATAAACGGCAATGAATTGCACCGTGTGCGTGTAATAAGTTGAAAGAGTTAATGTGGGCTCCAGTCTCACTAAGTGTTTCCAGTAAAACATTAAAACATAAAACAAAATTCAGTTATATACTTACCGACAACAGCAAACGACCATATTCTATCCACCGTTTCTGCGACGAATACTCCACCGCCGCTGCGATGGACCCACCGCTTCTGCGAAAGCTATGACCAGTATGCCACTGTGATAGGCCTTTTTCTAGTAGTTCTAAACGGAAAACATAGTCCGGTTCTGGCCTCAGGGGATACCGTCAGGCTGACTAAAGCCACAGTAATAGGCCATTTTAGTAGTTCTAAATGGAAAACCAAGTCCGGTTCTAGTCTCAGGGAGTACAGTCAAGCTGACCAAACCCACGGTGATAGGCCTATTAGTAGTTCTAAACGGAAACCCAGACCTGCGTCTCGCGTCAGGGAATACATTCAAGCTAAATAAACCCATGGTGATTGGGCTTTTTAGTAGTTCTTAACTGAAAACCAAATCCGTTTTTAGACCCAGGAAATACAGTCAAGCTGACCAAACCCATGGTGATAGGGCTTTTTAGTAGTTCTTAACTGAAAACCAAATCCGTTTCTAGACCCAGGGAATACAGTCAAGCTGACCAAACCCATGGTGATTGGGCTTTTTAGTAGGTCTTAACTGATAACCAAATCATTTTCTTGCCTCAGGGAATACATGCAGTCAAGCCGACCAAATTCATGGTAATAGGCCCTTCTAGTACATGTAGTTCTTAATGGAAAACCAAGCCAGATTCTAGCCTAAGGTAATACGGTCAGCTGACCAAACCCACGGTGATAGGACCAGGAATAAACATAATTTAGTTATTAACTCTGACAATGTTGATTGAAATGTATACATGTATAAATATGTCACATGTATCAATTAATGACTTTTCAACATTGTTGGCATCACTATTAAGAACGAACGAACAAATTTATTTCACATAAACTTTACAGTTTCTAGTGACTAGCCACTACATTTTACAAATTAACATATAGGTGTACATAGAACATACAATTGTGACAAATATCAAATATGTATACTAAAAAGATTATGATATAATTCTATAATAATAATTATCATAATAATAATAATAATAATAATAATAATAATAATAACAATAATAATAAATAATAATAATAATAAATAATAATAATAATATAAATATAATAGATCTCATATTTATGGTGATTGACAATACATGTATTACCATGTTTGTTTTATATCATCTTATATATCACTAGAAGTAATAAGAAACATCATGGTATCACTTCGTTTCGCGTAAATTTATGATAGCATGTCCTGCATTAATAATTTAATTTTAAATCAGCTTAATTAATTTATATATTAATAATGCATAATTTCGCTTGCTTTATGCTTTATGATTATCATGCCATTTAACATTCTACAAACAATTCGATTGATATAAAAAGATACCAAATTTTTCTTAATGTTGCTCAAAATTTATTTTTTCAACAAACAAGAACATTTAGAAAATAATGATAGTTTCAGACATGTATACGCACAAATTTAATGGACTATTGTTGCTTTTTTCAAAATTTGTAAAATGTTGTTCTGTTTTACGTAAAAATCTAGAGATGTAAAATATTTTGTACAAAAACTTTGTTGTATACATATAGGTTTATGAATAAAATATGTCAATTCTGAACAATTTTAACACTGGTCACATGAAAATATGCCATTACCGTGAAATAAGTGATGACACGCAATTAGTGATGTTGAATGTATAATTCAAAATTTGTATTTAACATAACTGCCTATTCTAAAAGCAAATTCCTATGCAAATTCAAACATAGATTTATAGTTAAAAGCAAATTCAAAAATAGATTTATAGTTGTATGTACTGTAGTGTCTACAACGCTACAAAAAGGTTTGGCACCGGCGTAATTAACACGCTATTCTTTTTTTTTGTTTAATGCGTTTATTTAAGGTCGCCGCCGGAAAGCCCATATGGGCGACCGTACACTCAAGTCGCGCCATCCTAGAGCGTCCCGCCGAGATTTTTTCGTCGATTTTTTTCCAGCTTTATTGGTGGAGGAAGACCCTCCGGGCATTATTTCAGGCACGAGCGGGCACCCGGGTAGAACCACCGACCTAGCTACCGTAAGCCAGCTGGATGGTTTCCTCACATCAAAGATTTCGACCCGAGTGAGGATCGAACCTACAGCGGTGAGGGACCTGTGATCAGCGACCTTAACCACCACTCGGCCTAGGAGGCCCCTAAACATGCTATTTTTCACAGCTTCCTTTAATCACGGATTTATATGTAATATTACGTCCGCTTATGCAAGTAAGATAGTATAAAACAGTCAAAACAAAGTTGTCTCCCTTGTAAATTAGAGTCACATTTGTCATAAATCGGACCCGAAAACAATATTACAATTTCTTTGAAATTTGGACTTTTGCCACATTTCAAAGACAATATGTGTATGCGAGGTAATAATTTGTATTTAATACTTTTAAATGTTTGACTTTTAATTATGACTGGTTTAATACGTTATGCTTAATTTGATGATTCTTTATGCTGAAAATGAAATAGTTTCCGGACGAAATAATATCCGGTTACAGTACTGAACGCATCTGTGAGTGCAATCAAAGCTATAATTTAGCATATTTTTTTAAAATAAACTTTAAGTGTAACTGAAGTAATATGGTTCCCGCTGTAGGTTTGAGCTGCACTGCGTATAAGACGCAGGATCCTGCGTGAATGTCAGACGTTTCACTCCCAAGACGTTTCACTATTGAGACGTTTCACTCCCAAGACGGTTCACACCTAGACGCTTCACTCCCATTTTGTCAATTGTATGGACGTTTCACTCCCAATTTTTAGAGATGTTTACTAGGAAAGTTAACAAAATTTTAATTTCATTAATATCAAACAGTGTAAAAAGGAAATTCAATTTAACGTTTCATTTCAATGGTATTGTTAATACCAGAGACATAGATATCTATGTCTCTGGTTAATACGAATTATTAGAAGATTACTCATTTAGTTATGGGTTGAGTGATAAGAGGTGTAAATGAAAGACAAATTTCTGAAATATCACTTTTATTATAAGTGTAAAAACATGAGAAAATGATATTTATAGTAAATTAAAAAAATAGAATAACATAGAAAGAACAACAAAGATATATTATAAGTATCAGTTTAAATATTGAATTCACTTCCAGTAAAGTAATTAATATTATTCAAATAATAAAAAATATCAATATATTGACTATATAATCATTATTTTTTGCAAGTCTTAAACAATGAAATGTTTATACATGTGTATAAAATAAATTATTTTTTAAAATTATTTTCTTCATCAATAATAAACAGTAGCCATTAAACAAACTTAAGTAATTGTGGTGTTATCTCATCGCCTAATTAGTTGTGTAAACACTGAGACAATCAACTAACAGTTTGACACCACTATTAAATCAGTTGTATAAACACTGCACTTAAGCATCAACAGTTTACTAATCAGTTGTTTATTGGACCATTAAAATATTTTTTGACAACAGCCAATTTAAACACAGAAACTTCTCCATAAGTTTTGTTTATATAATAATGAATTTTAGTCACAAAAAATGATTATACATGACAAATATTGAAAAAGTCCCAATGCTTCTAATTTAATTTAAAGATATTTCTGATTTCAATGGCCATTAAAATTTTTGACATATATCGCAAAAGCACTATACTAGCATTAAATAATTTAACAATTTTTTATCCCATGTTTAAAATTAACAACAAAAAAACACATTACTCAAAGTTAATTGTTGTCACAAGATTGTTATGCTTTAAATTTAAATTGTGAGTCCATGTTTACAAAAGATCTGAAATGATAGAACTTAAAGTACTGAAATTTAAGTAATTGACAAAAAAGTGAAATTCCCCTTTTTAATTTATTTTTACTATATTTAAGATCTATTTTAGTTCAATATAATTCAATATTTTAGGTCTATTTGGGAGTGAAACGTCTAGGTGTGAACCGTCTTGGTGTGAACCGTCTCAATAGTGAAACGTCTGTCTACCATCCTGCGTCATATACGCATAAAATGCCATCCTGTACGCACAAAAAATAAATTCTGCGTACAGATGGAGAGTTTAGAGTAACTCTCCTTTCCGTATTTTTTTTACGATATCTAAAATGTTTTGGTTAGCGGTGAAGATCATGGGAATCACCAATTGGTATTTATAGTAACGTGTCAGTTTATTGGCTAGTTAATGTCCTCATTTAAAATACTGACCAATCATAAGTGAGCACCCACGTGTCCCGGATATTATTATCAGTCGGAGCGCTCGGTTGTTACCTTTATCTATGACAGTACTTTCGCTTTACAGGCTGACTTAAGAAGTTTTTGGGTGGGGGTGGTCCGAAACGAAAATGAGATGACAATGAGCCTGTCTCGTTGACTGTAACTGAACGAGTACATCATCTTAACAATCCACAAAACAGAAACGTGACACAACATTCTGGTCTGTCTGGTTAAGTGATTAGAGCTTCGAATGAATGAATGTTTCTAGTCTAAAAAGTTGTTGAGAAATCAATCTAAAATTGTTTACAATTGTCATTTATATTGCAATCTTAGTGTACTTCTTCTGTGAGCAGTCAGCAATTTTGAAAAATTTGTCTGGGAATGCACCCTCAAAATTTTGTGGTGGACCCCTGTTTTTATAGATCCTGCTTCCAATGGACCCCTAATATAAAAAGGGTTGGTAAATCCCGGAATAACGCTTAGAGAGGAATTTGAAGTCTGACCACTAATAAAGCTTGAAAGTTGCCATATGACCGGCACTGTGTTGGTGCGATGTAAACTCCAATTAAAAAAAATAAAAAAAATAAGAAACTGAAAATGGCATATACATGTAAGTACATGTAAATGCTTAAACTAGGACTGATACTACTCAATTATTGTGGCACAAAATTATAAATATTTTTTATTTAAACGCAGATGTCAATGTTACATTCGAGCTACATTTGTATTTTGAACCATTCAACAATATTTGGAAAGAAAAATATCACAAGTGTCATATTTTCTCAATTTTAGAATGTATTGTACATGTATATTTTCAGCAAAGAAATTAAATATTTGACATTAATATATTTCAGACCAATCCTTGAAGCTTTCAGAAAGACCATGAAAAAGATGAAGCAAGAATCTTATTTTTTATAAAGATTGAGCATTGCAGAGTATAAGTTTGAAATGGAAGGTCAGGGTAACTTTAATACAAACTGTAACTACATGTTTAATTCATATGATAGAATCAGCCTATCAGATATTGTAGATTCAACAAGTGAGGACAATCAGTCTGTGTTTGTAGCACAAAACCGCCAGTATTCTGGGAATCCAGTATTTCCAACAATGGACATTGTTGGGTCTCGCGTTCAAGTTGGCAGACAGCACTCAGACTATTTTGGTGTGAGCAATTGTGCTAATTTCAGCAGTTCAGGTGACACTGTTTCTGAGCAGGCAAGGAGAATGAACCAACTAGATTCAAGACCTACCATACAAAATATTAGCAATTCTTTTACACACCAAAGAAGCAGTGTACTGTCCAATTCTGCTGAGAAAGACACTGCGAATTCTTCAGAACACAAAAAGAGAATTGATGAACTTTCAAATATACACAAAAGAGTTAATGTTTCTGTAGGCATGCCAACATTCAATTCAGTGGCAAATGTTGTTAAAATAGAACAGGCAGATGGTCAAGAAGACACAGGCAATAACAGGGAAGCTAAAGAGGTTGCTGTTAATGATGTGTCAGAGAAGTCTGATACTGAGTTTAAGAATGATTTTGTTATGAATATTAAAGAAGAAGCAGTAACTGATGATGAAAATGATGGTACTGAGGGTCATGAAGAAGATAGAGAAAATTTGTATGAACAATCTGATGCAAGCACTGTCATTGAAGATGAGGATGAAATTACCAGTAAGTTACTAGAAGGAAAGACGAAGCAACCAATAAAAATACAAGGTAAATCCAATAAGAGTTCAAAAAAGAAACCAAGGAAGCAGAAAATGCCAAAGCCAGTCTTGTCAAAGGACAAGAAAGAATACACATGTGAAACTTGCGCAAAAGTTGTACAGTCACATCGTGCACTGGTCAAACATATGAACCTGCATACAGAGAATTATAAGTGTAAAGATTGTAATAAAATATTTAACTCTGCTGTGTCACTTAAGAATCATTGCAAAGTGCATGCTGGATATACTGGCAATGAAGTGTGTAAAGTTTGTGACAAGACATTTTATGATAAGAGTTCATTAAAGAAGCACACCCTATCAGTTCACATGGGAATCACAAACTTTCAATGTGAATACTGCCAAATGTCATTTTTTGCACGGAAGACTTATGATGAGCATGTGCGTGTACATACTGGAGAGAAACCATTTAAATGTTCGCTGTGTCCGAAGGCATACAAACGTGTGGCAGACCTGAATCATCATATAAGGCTCCATAAAGGTTAGTTTGTACTTGAATATGTTTGAAGAAAAAAGAGAAAATGGGCTTTGTGATACACTCAGAATGGTATAAAAAAAAATACAATTGTTTAACAGTTATCGGGTATATCTAGCTAGACTAGAGACAAGTGTGGTGGCTAGCTGTTCTCAACTGTCAGTCAAGTGATTCTGAGTTACTTGCATATATGACATATATATGGTAAAAATGGTACACAGTCACATTCATGTTAATGTCTTGTAAATAGTAGAAATAATGCCAAGGTTGCAGATCAAATGATTTTGGTTTGCTTTTTGGCTTCAAGGTCTTACATTTATTTTGTACTTTTTATTTATGCGCCAATTTGTGCAAAAGCCTTCGGCTTTGTAATGATATTGAAATATTACAATGATGTGATGAATTCCATTATATTTTGTAAGAGAAAGACTTTTATTGAATTTGTGAACGGTTATATGTCATTTCTTAAAACTTTTTAGAATTGTAAATTGATTACTTGAAATTTTGGCGAATGCTTCCTTAAACATATTGTAAGATTGAAATTTTGAAGAATGACTTTTACATTAATATCTAAAATAAACTTCATGTCAAGAGGTGGAGTCATATTTGCATGATGCCATCATGATCATTTTTTTTCAATATTCATTTTCTAAAAAAATGATCCACTTTCTTGAAAAGGTGAAGAGAATACAATCCCAAAGACTTATTGTTATTTTGGTATAGCTGCTGTAATGCATTATTTTCTGTTTATATAGGTGAGGTATCTCATACATGTGACAAGTGTGGTGAAGGTTTCCGTAGAGTTTCTGAATTAAACCGTCACATGAACTCGAGGCATTCAGATGATGATATGTCGAAGACATTCATCAATGTCAACAAAGAGAAAAAATGTCAATGGTGTGGTCTTGCTTTCAGCACATTGAAAGCATTAAATGCACATCTCAGTACTCACAAACTTGTTGATGACATGGTTCACAAGTTAGGAACTAAACCAGCTGTTCAACGCGAGCATGGGATCAGTGTTGAAAAAAATATAGCATCTTTGATACCAAATATTTCAAATAATTGGGCCAATGTATCTCTACCAATGGTACCTATGAATTATGGTAGTCAAGGATTTCCTGGACAAGAAATGCCCATGAGTCAAGTATTAGATATGACTTACAAGAGCATGAAGCTGGCAGAACCAGATAAACAGCTGAAAAGCATTAATCAAGGGAGTGATGTAAGTGCAAGTAAAACAGAAGAAGATAAACGTAAGATATATGAAAATGAAAAGTCTGCTAAGTCTAATGAAAAAGATTTTGATGTTGAGTTTGAAAATTCAAACAGCAGTATTGGAAATGAAGAAGATTTATCTAGTGAAGATATTTACACTGATAATGAAGGTGCTGATTCAAGTAGTTCTTACAATGACAACAATGTTGATGATATTCCTCATGTTAAATCAGAAATTGAAGATGATTTCATTGATGATGATCCAGAAATAGAAGTTGATGATTATGATGCTGATACTGATATAGAAGAATACAATTATGTCTTTCATAAGAAAGATGATGTGAGCAGTGACATCGCTCAGGGAAAGATGAAAGAACTAAGTTTTGTTAAAATCGAAGCTGTTGATATTGACTGTGAGGGAAATCACAATGCAAAAGATAATCTTGAAAAGGATCCAGATTTTATACCTAAAGTTGAAAAGGTCAGCAAGAGGAAAGCTACGAAACCAAGAAAGAAAGTACAGAAAAAGAAAAAGGTCAAACAGTCATCAGAAATTTCTGATACTGATGATGAAGAGACTGCAAAGTCTAAAAAAGAAACAAAAGCAACTGAGGAAGATGATTCATTGGATTTAGCTTCCTTAAAATGCTTATTATGTGGTAAAACCTTTTCTAAGAAGGTGTCTTTAAAAATACATATGAATATTCATCGAGGAACATTTGCCTGTAAACTTTGTGGAAAATGTTTTGCAACGAAAAATTCACTTAAAGTACACATGGACAATCATGAGGGGCGGAGATTAAAGAGTGCTGTTTGTAAAGTGTGTGATAAAGTTTTCTACGATGCTAGCTCAGTGAACAAGCATGTAAAGACCGTTCATATGGACTATAGACCGTATTCCTGCACAGTGTGTGACCGAAGATTTCCAGAGCATAAAACACTGAATGAACATATGAGGGTTCATTCTGGAGAGAGACCTTTTGCATGTGAGGTAAGTGTGCTTGCTGATAGTTATTACCTATGGACAAACTACTGCTTTCACTTGGTCTGTACATTGATGTGACCTGGTTTATTTTTTGTGATACCTCTTTTAATATATTTTTTTTTAAATATATTGCAAACTTGATTCATAATATTAAATACAAAAGCATCTCTAACATAATACAGTGTAATAAGTAAATTATTAGTAATTACCTTTTATAAAATGAACAACTAGAAACAAGATTTTTTGATATACAAAAATCTGTAAGATATCATGTACAACCATTTTAGTTTAAATATATGAGCCGCGTCACGACAAAAACCAACATAATGCATTTGCAACCAGCATGGATCCAGACCAGCATACGTGTCTGCACAGTCTGATCAGGATCCATGCTGTTCGCTTACAAACTCTATTACAAATAGAAAAACTGATAGCGAACAGCATGGATCCTGATCAGACTGCGTGGATGCGCAGGATGGTCTTGATCCATGCTGGTCGCAAACGCACTATGTTGGTTTTGTCATGAAGCGGCTCAATTATGAACTTTTATTTAAAGATATTTTTTTATGGTACATGAAACATATTTCAATAATTACGTTTTGGGATAAATAACTTTTAAGAGTTTTCAGTCATGGAAAGCTTCTTAAGTGGACCACATTGTGCTATTCTTGTCTCTAAATTCATTTAAGACTGCTTTATGCTTCAATAAAGATTTGTTAAATCCCCATAGAAACTTTTTGATTTCAACTGTATTCATAATTATTGCATGCAGTACTAGTAGCATTGTGATACTTAAAGGCCCATTATGCCTCAGAAATGCTTTTATTTTTATTTCTCATAATGTTTTTAATTTTGGTGTATTTTTACAGTACCCAAAAAGCTACTCCATGGCCAATAACTTGAGCCATCCTTTTCATCCATTGCATTTTGACAATATGTACAGTAATAGAGAATTAGTAATTTGTATGGAAGTCAAAATAGTACTTTTTTACATTTTGCTACTTTTTTGTCTTATCGCTACTTTTTCATGTGACAAGCATCTAAGATTTCTCCAAAGTCATTATTTAAACACTATAAAAAAATTAATGTTTTCCTTTTCTAAGGAAGTAAACATTTATTTGTTTCTGAGGCATAATGTGCCTTTAAGGCATTTTAAGGTTAAATAAGTCAAGATAATTTTAATAGTTTGTTGTATGCTGTTGAGCATTGCTCCTTTTTGAATGATAGCATTGGTAAATTTAGACAATTCGCGTTACCTTAGTGGCCAACCTTTTTAATATTTTTGATTTTTAACAACACTTATTAAAAGGATATTAATGGTTTATAACATAAATGCCATGAGGAGATGGTTAATATATCAAAGAGATTATTGTCTGCTTTCAGGTGTGTGGAAAAACATATAAACGAACAAGTGAACTGAATTTTCACATTCGCAAACATAATGGAGAGGTCAATTTGAATTGCCCTGAATGTGGCAAGGGATTCATAAGAGTGGGGCAACTCCGTCAACATATGTTGTTAAAACATGATAAAGAACGTCCATTTAGATGCTTTATATGTCAGAAGACATTTCCAACACCTGTCATGTTAAAAGACCATCGGAAAATGCATGTGATTCTGAAGAAGCATGTGTGTCATAAATGCGGACACAAATTTAACTCGAAATCAAAATTAGACAAGCATTTACGAAGAAAAACAGACTGTCAAACAGATTGTGGGTCTACTGAAAATGGAATGTTTATTTGTAAATATTGTAATGAGGAGTTTCCTAAGATCGAAGAAAGATACTCCCATATGCGAGAGGCGCATCAAACTGCCGAGCAGCGCAGGCATGCATGTGAAATTTGCGGGAAAACGTTCCACAGAAATCAAGCATTGAAAATTCATTTAAAAATACATTACCAGGTGCGTGACTATAAATGTACAGTGTGTGGGGCTGCCTTTATTCAGCGACATCATTTGACGCAACATATTGCGACACATACAGGGTCACGACCATACCAGTGCAATGTTTGCTTTAAAAGTTTTGCACACAGTGCCACTCTTTATAATCACATGAAGCACCATTGATGATAATTTCAGATATAACACCATCTTTATGAGATACCATACTAAGTTACTTTCAAATGTTACAGGTTATTTATAATACAAACGTAAATTATAAAGCAGGGGGAGAAATTAACGTTACATCTGTTATTTATATTAAAAGTTAATGGCTTTTTTATACTTCAACTTAAAGTATTATCGTTATGTTCTTAATCATTTCACCCTGTAAATAAATTTTTAGAATGGTCTATATTATAAATAAGATATTAATATTTTATATGATATACACGTATTATGACTGGTCAATGTTTTATCATTCATTTAAACCAGTCTGTACTGTTCACAAAGTATTACACCAGTCTGTAAAGAACACAAAGTCTTGGACCAATCTAAATTATTGTGAATAGTTTGTTCTGTAAAAAAGACGTTGAAGACACTCAATATAATTTTCAATTTTAGATCAATACTTTCTGATGATTATTTGCTCCTTGAAGTATTGACATGCTGGTGTGTTCTTATTGGTGCTTAAGCGGAAAATCAAATTGCACATTTATGTAATGAATCTGTTTTGTTATAAACTTGACTTTGCAAAGATTAGTTAGGCTTATGATATACTAACTCTGGTGCTGGCATAACACAGGTAAAAGGGTTAGCTTGCAACTTTTAGTTTGTTAACCAATTGAGGTATTCATTTTAAATGTCACCCATGCAGTTGGGGTCATACTTTTAGATCTCTTTATTACTTTTTAATCCAATAAGGCAGTCGATTATTACCTGCCATCTACAATAAACACCCGTAGTTATCATAAATAAAAGGTGATAATTAACTGTCTAATTGGATGACAGTCACTAGCCTTTTGATCTGGTATAACCTCTGACACAGAACAGATCAGAACTTAACAAATCAAAGGAGATGAAAACATAATAATTATATTTGTTTATATTGGATATGTATTGGATTTTTTCATCATTTTGATGCTATAAACATTTGTACAATGTTTAATGCAAAACAAATCTATTGTCATTGATATTGGCACATAGTTTCTTTTAGAACATCAATTATAATAAGTATATACACTTTGATTTTACTAATATAAAATCAATTCATTGAATATAAAATCAGGAATTTTAGCGATTGGTAATACAACAACTCTATTTAAATATTTTCTTAGATCTTTTTCAATTATGTTTCAATTTTATTAGAAAGATTAAACTAACAAAAAAGGTCTACTTAAATTATATGAAGATAAATTTCAATTAGACATATTATATATTTAGAGAATAGCTTTCACAAAATCGTTGCCAGTATCGATAAGATCATCAAAATCGCTTTTGTTTATTTTTCTAAGTTTGTCAAATTCAATCTACATAAACATTTAATATCAATACATGACTCAAATTAATTATCAATCTTACTTTTTCTGTATAGAAATGTAGATTTCGGTTTGCATTAAATAGGGGAAGTAATCGTGAAAATATATTTTCGTCTATAACATCATAAATATCAAGTTATTTTTCAGTGATTTTTTGCATGTAAGTTCAATTCAACTGACATTACTTAAGTATTCAAAAATACTTAAAATAAATTGTTTAATTGTAATTTTAAATGAGTTTATTTTGGTAATGAAAAGTTGATTTCGGTAAAGTCACCGAAATCAAGTTGATTTTGGTATCGTAACATACCGTTTGATTATGAAAGATTGTCCTTCCTAAAAAATTCACTCAAATGTATAAAAGATTACACAATAAAGAAAATTAACACTGTGGAAATTAACATAATAATAAAAAAATTACATGATGGGGGAAAGTTTACACAGTCATGGAAAACTAATTATTATTTGGTTAGGCATGTATTTGTTTTGTGAATAAACTGATGAATAAACTTAGGTTCTTTTAGGTTTGTGGTCTTTTACTTGTTTGTACAGTTATTCGTATTTTATTTTAAAGCTGATTTTTTTTAATTCTGTTAACATTAAAAGATATTTTGGTATATTTTTTTTTAAGTTTAAGTTCTTTCGATTTACTACTTTTGTATTTTTATAGTGTCATTAAAATTGATTCTTTTTATAGCTTTTGATACACACATTGAATGTCCAATATGCCTCAGAAATGTTTCTATCTTTATTTCTTTAGTGTCGTGTTAATGTTTAAAAAATACTACTTTGTTTATGTTATGTTACTTTTATAACAAATAATTTTATATTCCAAGTCTAAGAAGCATATAACATGCTGAGGCATAATGTGCCGTCTATTAGGGTTGATGTTGTCTTTTGGCCGAAATTGTCTTAAAACAACATCTCTGAAACTGTTTTTATGCTCCCCGAAAAATTTCGGGGGAGCATATAGTCGGCGCCTTGTCCGTCTGTCCGTCCGTCCATTGTCTTGTCCAGAACATAAATTGAAAACCCTTGGAGATAATTTGTTGAAACTTCATACAGTGGTAGAGGGCATTGAGGGGGAGTGCAGTGTCAAAGAACCATAACTCTATTTTGCCCGGTTTTTGAATTATCTCCCCTTATAGATAAATCTTGTCCGGGGCATAACTCTAAAATTATAAGAGATATCAACATGAAACTTTGTAGGTGAATAGATCTCAATGGGTAGATGTGCAGTGCATAAGAACAATAACTCTTTTTGTCCTAATTTTGGAGTTATTGCCCTTTGTTAATTTTAACACTTTGAACTTTGTCCGGAACATAACTCTAAAACTATAATAGATATCAAGATGAAACATTGTAGGTAGATAGATCTCATTGAGTAGAGGTGCAGTGCAAAAGAACCATAACTCTGTTAAGCCTCATTTTTGAATTATTTCCCCTTTTAGAAAAATCTTGTCCAGGACATAGCTGTAAAACTATAAGAGATATCAACATGAAAGTTTGTAGGTAGATATATCTCAATAGGTAGATTTGCAGTGCACAAGAATCATAACTCTGCCTTGCCTAATTTTGGAGTTATTGCCTTTTGTTTATTTTTACTTTTTGAAGTTGTCCGGGACATAACTCGGAAATCATAAGAGATATCATCAAGAAACTTTGTAGGTTGATAGATCTCATTGATTAGAAGTGCAGTGCAAAGTACAGTAACTCTGCCTTGCCTAATTTTGGAATTATTGCACTTTGAACTTTTTCCAGGGACATAACTCTGAAACTACAAGAGGTGTACTTTCCTGTGTCCAAAACCTATTCGGGGAGCATCACCCGGCTCAAACCGGGCTCCTGTTTTCAAATTTGTTGAAACTTGTCTTGAATGTATCTTGCATGGATGTTCTGATGGAAAGTATTTCCCTTAAAGTTGTTCACTTGATTTTGGTCTGTTTCATAACTGGAACAGGGGAAATAAAATTGAATGTTAAAAGTAAAGATAAAATAGGTAGGACAGGAGCTTAAATGATCATGTGTAGCATTATCTTTTTGTTTACCCTTTTTTCAAAGAGTAATACCTGTACACTTGCAAGTATTTAATAAAAGAAATGACAGTTCTAACTCAAATGTGCAAAATGACCATTATTGCCCATTTTGTTTTGAAATACAAATGTATTAAGTATTAACTTATACACACACATGCATATATTATTTTTATTTAAATGTATATTAAAGTTTACTTAGAAATTAGTTTTAAAATATTTAAGCTCTTTTTGTATCCCACCTGAGCATGCTGTGCTCAGGGGTGAGCTTTTTAGCTCACCTGTCACAAAGTGACAGGGTGAGCTTTTGTGATCGCTTTTCGTCCGGCGTCCGTAAACTTTTGCTTCAAATGACATCTCCTCATAGACCACTAAGCCAATTTCATCCAAACTTCACAGGAATGTTCCTTTGGTGGTCACCTTTAAAAATTGTTAAAAGAATTTAATTCCATGCAAAACTCTTGTTGCCATGGCAACCGAAAGAAAAAACTTTAAATATCTTCTTTTAAAGAACCCAAAGAGCTAGAGCTTAGATATTTGGCATGAAACATCTTCTAATGAGTGTCTACCAAGTTTGTTCAAATAAAAGCCCTGGGGTCAAAATTGGCCCCGCCCCAGGGGTCATTGCTTTTCCCTATATGCATATAGTAAAAACTTTTAAAATCTTCTTTTAAAGAACCCAAAGAGCTAGAGCTTAGATAGTTGGCATGAAACATCTTCTAATGAGTGTCTACCAAGTTTGTTCAAATAAAAGCCCTTGGGTTAAAATTGGCCCCGTCCCAGGGGTCATGATTTTCCCTATATGCATTTAGTAAAAACTTAAAAAATCTTCTTTTAAAGAACCCAAAGAGCTAGAGCTAAGATATTTAGCATGAAACATCTTCTAGTGAGTGTCTACCAAGTTTGTTCAAATAAAAGCCCTGGGGTCAAAATTGGCCCTGCACCAGGGGGGGGGGGGGTCATTGATTTTCCCTATATGCATGTAGTAAAAACTTTAAATATCTTCTTTTAAAGAACCCAAAGAGCTAGAGCTTAGATATTTGGCATGGAACATCTTCTAATAAGTGTCTACCAAGTTTGTTCAAATAAAAGCCCTGGGGTCAAAATTGGCCCCGCCCCAGGGGGTCATGATTTTCCCTATATGCATATAGTAAAAACTTAAAAAATCTTCTTTTAAAGAACCCAAAGAGCTAGAGCTAAGATATTAAGCATGAAACATCTTCTAGTTAGTGTCTACCAAGTTTGTTCAAATAAAAGCCCTGCGGTCAAAATTGGCCCTGCACCAGGGGGGTCATTGATTTTCCCTATATGCATAATTAGTAAAAACTTTTAAAATCTTCTTTTAAAGAACCCAAAGAGCTAGAGCTTAGAAATTTGGCATGAAACATCTTCTAATGAGTGTCTACCAAGTTTGTTCAAATAAAAGCCCTGGGTTCAAAATTGGCCCCGCCCCGGGGGTCATTGATTTTCCTTATATGTGTATAGCAAAAACTTAAAAAATCTTCTTTGAAAAAACCCAAATAGCTAGAGTTTAGATATTAATCATGAAACATCTTCTAGTGAGTGTCTACCAAGTTTGTTCAAATAAAAGCCCTGGGGTCAAAATTGGCCCTACACCAGGGGGGGTCATTGATTTTCCCTATATGCATATAGTAAAAACTTTAAATATCTTCTTTTAAAGAACCCAAAGAGCTAGAGCTTAGATATTTGGCATGAAACATTTTATAATGAGTGTCTACCAAGTTTGTTCAAATAAAAGCCCTGGGTTCAAAATTTGCCCCGCCCCGGGGGTCATTGATTTTCCTTATATGTGTATAGCAAAAACTTAAAAAATCTTCTTTGAAAAAACCCAAATAGCTATAGTTTAGATATTAATCATGAAACATCTTCTAGTGAGTGTCTACAAAGTTTGTTCAAATAAAAGCCCTGGGGTCAAAATTAGCCCCGCCCGGGGGTCATTGATTTTCCTTATATATGTATAGCAAAAACTTCAAAAACCTTCTTTGAAAAAATCACAAATAACTAGAGTTTAGATATTAAGCATGAAATATCTTCTACTGAGTGTCTACAAAGTTTGTTCAAATTAAAATCCTGGGGTCAAAATTGACCCCGCCCCGGGGGTCATTGATTTCCTTATATGTGTATAGCAAAAACTTAAAAAATCTTCTTTGAAAAAACCCAAATAGCTAGAGTTTAGATATTAAGCATGAAACATCTTCTAATAAGTGTCTACAAAGTTTGTTCAAATAAAAGCCCTGGGGTCAAAACTGGCCCCGCCCCAGGGGTGTCATTGTTTTTAACTATATGTGTATAGTAAAAATTTAAAGAATCTTCTTTTAAAAAACCCCATCCAGGGGTTTCTTTGTTACATTTTTGTTACATTTACTAGTTATTATCTTGCTTTTGAAATCTTCTCAGAAAGTACAATGCTAGAACATAGATATGTTGTATGTGACATGAACGTGTGGTCCTTTACACACATTATTTGATTGATGCCGTTTGGCATAAAATGGGCACCAGTCTGTGGTCATAGATTTGTCACTATTTTTAAGGAACAGACAATTTTAAGCTTGTGTGAAAATATGATGTCTAGAGCTTACATTATTGGCATGTTTTATTGCTTAGTGTGCCCCTGAAAAAGTGATATTAAATATTTCCAAGGATTAGATCTTAAACTAATCCCAAGGACCACATAGGAAAATATATAAAATGAGCTTTCTATTAAGAAACTATAATTCTGGCATAGAGCTTAGATGTTTAACAGTGGTCCTCAACAAAATTTATATAGATAATTTTATTTGGTCTCTAAGGCTACGTCGCAAGATTATTTTTGGCACGATTATTTTTGGCACGTTCTGCTAACAAGTAAAAGCTCAACTCAATATGCCCAGTTTATTTTGACATTTTTCATATGAAAATAATAAAATAATGAGTGAAACAGTCTTTCTCATTTGATAACTATTGATTTGTTAAGCTCTGGTCATCACATTTTAATCATAAGGATAGATATATATGCATGTATGTGCTATTGTATTTTGACACCAGGAATTGCGCAGATGGTCAAGTGACCTACTTTAAAAACTTTCATTTTCAGTCTTTAAGTTAAGCTCACTTGTATAACATACAATTATGTGATATCAAAGTTTGACTTTGAATGTGACCGGTGGCTTACTTCTGCATTAACTTTTATGACAGTGTCTATTAAAGGATGTCGGGAGAGCCATGTAAAGCAATTATGACACTATTGTTATATTTTTTCAGTCATATTTACATGTATATATATGTAATTTATATCCTTTATAATAAATAAAACATTGTATAGTCATTTTTGTTAATTTTTTACTTAACTATATCAATAGACAGTTTAACACATTAACTGATTTTTACCTAAGTTAAGTGCAATAAGTCAAAATAACTAACTCTGTTAAATTTGTGTAGTGGAGTTCGTGTCTAAGGTTTTTATACGCCCGTTTGAAAAACGGGACGTATTATGGGAACGCCCCTGGCGGGCGGGCGGCGTCCAATTTTGTCTGGAGCATATCTCCTACATGTATGGAGGGATTTTAATGAAACTTCATAAAAATGTTCACCACTATGAGGAGCAGTGTCGCGCACATGAACCAGGTCTAGGTCAAAGGTCAAGGTCACACTTAGAGCTCATTGAAAAATGCTTGTCCGGAGCAAAACTTCCACATGTATAGAGGGATTTCAATATTACTTGGCACAAATGTTCACCATTGTGAGGCGGAGTGTCGCGCGCAAGATTCAGGTCCTTGCGACCAAGGTCAAGGTCACACATAGAGGTCAAAGTTCAGATAAAAATATGAAGATGTGTATATGGACCATTTAGTCATCATTTATTGAGGGATTGTAACACAAATGGTCATTATCAAGACTATGGCTGTGATACATATAATTTAGGTCAATATATACAAGGTCAAGGTCACTAAAGATGATGAAATATCCAGATTTTGTCCGGAGCATATCTCCTACATGCATGGAGGGATTTTAATGAAATTTCATAGAAATGTTCACCATTATGAGAAGCCATGTCACGCACATGAACTAGGTCTCTAGGTCAAAGGTGAAGGTCACACTTAAAGCTCATTGAAAAACGCTTGTCCGGAGTAAAACTTCCACATGCATAGAGGGATTTCAATATAACTTGGCACAAATGTTCACCATTGTGAGGCGGAGTGTCGCGCACAAAATTCAGGTCCCTGCAGCCAAGGTCAAGGTCACACATCGAGGTCAAAGTTTAGATAAAAATTTAAAGATGTGTATAGGGACGATTTAATCATCATTTATTGAGGGATTGTAACACAAATCGTCATTATCATGACTACGGCTGTGACACATGTACTTTAGGTCAATATATGCAAGGTCACTAAAGATGGTGAAATATCCAGATTTTGTCTGGAGCATATCTCCTACATGTATGGAAGAATTTTTATAATACTTTATGGAAATGTTCACCACCATGATATGTATTGCTCCATGCATGATCCAGGTCTCCAGGTCAAAGGTCAAGGTCACACTTAGAGCTCATTGAAAAACGCTTGTCTGGAGCAAAACTTCTACATTCATAGGGGGATTTCAATATAACTTGGCACAAATGTTCACCATTGTGAGGCTTAGTGTCGCACACAAAATTCAGGTCCTTGCGACCAAAGTCAAGGTTACACATAGAGGTCAAAGTTCAGATAAAAATTTGAAGATGTGTATAGGGACCATTTAGTCATCATTTATTGAGGGATTGTAGCACAAATGGTTACTATCATGACTACAGGTGTGACACATTTAATTTAGGTTAATATTTGCAAGGTCAAGGTCACTGGAGATGATTAAATATCCAGATGTTGTCCGGAGCATATTTTCTACATGCATGGAGGAATTTTAATGTTACTTTATAGAATTGTTCACCACCATGAGACGTAGTGCCCTGCACATGAACCAAGTCTCTAGGTCAAAGGTGAAGGTCGCAGTTAGAGCTCATAGAAAAACGCTTGTCTGGAGTAAAACTTCTACATGCATAGAGAGATTTCAATATAATTTGGCACAAATGTTCATCATTGTGAGGCTGAGTGCCGTGCATAAAATTCAGGTCCCTGCGACCAAGGTAAAGGTCACACATCCTGTGCATATCTTCCCTACTGATTTGTTTTAAGGTTCATTTAACAACACAGTGCCAAGAATAAAAACTTGCTTGCTAGATAACACTTATCCATAATGCCCCCATCTCCATCTAAAGCTTTCGTAAACGGGCGTATTTTGTGACTATGGCACCCTTGTTTAAATCTGTTTACCGAAACGGGCGAGAGGTAAGGGATGTGCCGATAGGTTACGTAGAATGCCGACATGGCACGGAAAAACCCGATTCCATTACAGGGATCTTACCTTAATTCTGGTATTTGCTATTTCATATCCCACCAAGGACTAAACTTGTTCACGTGATGAAGCTATCGAGAACTAGTTAATAGTTAAATGTAGTTATGGTTCTATTCAGGGAGACTGTCAAGACTATTTTGATTTCTAAAAAGGGCCATCAAATGTTCCTTCATCCGTAAAGCTTTTATGCTGCCATATTACGAATAGGTAAAAATGTTACTTTCGTGTCCAAACAATCCTGTAACTGAATTGTTGCATTGTCCTTAAATCTGCTTAAATGGTATCAATTTCAAAATGCTTTAATTAAAAAAATCATTGCCTTATATAATTATAGTTATACTGAAAATGCCTTCATTGGCAAGTCAATATTGCTGCGTGATGATGTCTCTTACGCTCCCTCTGCAGCTCAGTGAATACACTCAGTAAAGTGAGCGATAGTGAAGCATTCGACCAATGCGCAGGAGAGTAGATGTCCGTATGGACAGCGCAATATGGCATAATAAGCTTAGATGCAAGACATTTTACCCTAAATATGTTGCAAAATGTCCCCCTACTAAGTTCAATAAGGAAAACATCGGAATATGTAGTCAAGGGGTTCGATCCTCGGATGAGACGAAATTTGTCCGTGAAAATTGATCTCGAATGGACTTCCGTCTCTCGGAATAATGTGGGATTAGTAGTCGGTCTCTTTCGGGGGAAATGTTAATTACTGGTTAGTAATCCAGTAAAGTTGGTTTTGTGGACCAGTCGCCGAGATATGACCAAAAAAGTGTTTAAATCAGGATAAAACCTAGACAAACATGCAAATACATAGCCAACACTATCCAGGAGACGTACAGGTTCATCATTTTTTAACGATAAACATTGGCTTTTGATTTTTTAAAGATCAATGCTGTTCTAACTTAGGTTTTGTTTTATTGTAATTGGGGTTATTCCTTGTATTACTTGTATAAAGCATAATTTGGCTTTAAAGTTGACGTTCCAGTACAAGCCAAGCATCATTCACTGCTTAATACCAATTCCCTGCATGTACAAACTTAGTACCAATTTATTTACAAGGTTAACGGTTAGTCTGGCAAGCATAAGATAAAGCTCTTTATCTTTGTTTCTAAATACATCCTGAAACAACTTGTAATATTTTCCACAATATTAGTAATATTGATGGGTCTCATATTGTTCTTGTTGTTGTTATAGGCATCTGTACGTATATGCTTTTCCTGTCTTTCATCCATTTTAAACCCTTTTCTCCCACAAATTGTCGACATTGTCATTAATTTTAATTTGTGTTTGAAATTACTTTTTGTTTAATACGAGTTCAACATAGATAAAACAACAAATAAGTTATGCAATTAAAGGGTTTATTTTCCTTTGTTTGAATAAATCAAATTAAAGTGTATGTTTATTCTTTGTGAATGAATATTTCTTGTCCATCCCTGAAAACAGTAAATAACATAATAAATATACGCAGAGTAAAACATAAGTTTCAACACTATATGCATATTTATATTATTATTGACACTAGGTTATTAATATATATAGTATTAAGTATGAAAAAGTATACGGATATGATTTGCTGCCAAAAAGTGAACGAAGAAAGTTTTGCGTTGTATAAAAAGCGTTTGTGGGAGTAATATGTAATATATCACGTAATATATATCGCATACGATTTTTATTCAAATATAATGGTAAATCCTGTTTACAGCCAGAAATATTTTGTACTTCATGTTGTTTATAAAATTATGTTGTTTATAAACTGAACGATTTTTTAAATTTCTTATCAGTATCTTATTAATGATTAGTAATTGTAGTTAAAACATTTTTTAGTTTGTTTAAAGTACCAAAGTATGAAGGAAAAAAGAAGTAACTTTGGACGTTAAAGGAACATCTCACCTTGAGATTTACCACTCTGGGAGCCCATATTTCATTCTCACGTATTTACCACAGCAAATGGCTTCAGTAGGTGTGTACACATTTGTACCACAACAGTAAGTCTTCTCACCGTACTGTTTCGCTCTAATCACACCATCGCAACACACATTCAATACTGCATCATAGCTGTTTTCGTTACAGCATTTTGTATGTAATCCACATTTACCTTGAATCTTGCATTGGCAGCAAACTTGACGTGAACTGTCGTATGTTTTTCCACAGCAACAACAATCGTCATATGGTATCCTTTCTTTCGGTACCATTGTTCCATTACAACATAAGCCTTTTTCGGGATTATAACTTCTTTTGCCACAACAGAGTGTCTTCAAACCTAGCCAAGCATGTTGTATCACACCATCGCAGCATATATCTATATTTGGGTCATAACTTACACCATTACAACACCGTGTGGCTTTCGAAAGCTTCATAGGCTGTGCTACATCTTCTTGTTCAGATGGACAACATACCTGTGTTGTTGGGTTGTACGTACTCTTACCACAACACCATGTGTCACCAGGATTGTTCTTTTTACTTATTTGCCCATCACAACAAACGTGCGTCTCAGTATTATAAGCCACATTTCCACAGCACAGTGCATTCCCATTCCCACTAGGTGGTAGTGTCCTTGCTCCGTTACAGCACATATGCATTTTTACGTTGTATGGTTCTTTCCCACAACATTGTGTTCCTAAGCCATACGTAGGACCCGGTTCCCCATCACAACAAACTTGGGTTCTTGAGTTAAATGTTTTACTTCCGCAACATGCGTCATCGGTAGAGTTAACTTTTCTCCTTACGTTTCTACCGCAGCAAAGATAACCTACCGGATCGTAGCTTTCCTCTCCGCAACATCTTGTGTTGGAATTCGCAAGGAGCTTTTGCACTTTGCCATCACAGCACAAAGAATTTGAAGAATCAAAGCTTATCTTCCCACAGCACTGCGTGCCTTGTAAAAATCTTGGCTGTTTGTTACCGTCACAACATATATTTTTATCAGGTGCATAAGACGACTTTCCGCAACAACAGTTGTCGGATGATTCAGAAAGGACCACAAGACTCTTGTCTTCACAGCAAATATGATGATTCCTATTGTAGCTTACTTTACCACAGCAACTAAACGCTATATGATCATCCATCGGTTGAATAACTCCATCACAACACATTTGTGTGTCGGGATTCAAATTTTTGTCACCGCAGCAAAATGAAGTTGCTCCAGAAACTCTATCTTGTATCTGCTTATTACAACATATTTTATTTGTTGGATCGAAGGTTTTGTCCCCGCAGCAACATGTAAGGTTTCCGGCTGTTGCTGGATATACTTGCCCATTGCAACATACCTGTGTTTTCTCGTCAAACTGTGGAACAGGCAAGTTGTACTCACAATCATAACACTTTGGATGATACGGTTCCGGATACAGCATAGCTTTAAAAGAACATACAGCGTTGTTACTTCACTTTTCAGACATTCTAGTACACGTTTTTTACAAGACAAAGTCATTGTTGAATAACTAATGTATATATTTTATTAAACTGGTTTAAAATGGTTCACATGCTTATTTGTAACATTTTTCCTAACTCCTTAAAATGTAAGCAATGTACTGTAACATACACTTGTTTTACCTAGTTACCACTTTATAATATTTTTACACTTTTACAGTTGTTTGTTTCATGGATTATCTCACACCTGAATGAAATACTAGTATAAACTTTTAGGTACATATTTGTAAAAGAAAGTATTAGCATGATATCATCGAAAAGAGTTACCATGGCAACAAAATTGGTTATATCTGTCGTAACTGACATTTCCGCAACACGTCGTTTGATCTCCGGCTAGTTTTGGTTGAACCTGAAAATTATTGAAATGACGCCAATTTTATGATTTTATTTGACGTATGTAAGTGTATCATACCTAAAGTTTATAATATTTATTATATCGATAAAAGGCTTTAAAGAATAAACATTTTTAAAAATTTCAGTTTGAACTAATTTTTCCTAAAGATAATGCAGTTTATAAGTATTATTCATGTATATATGTATTTTCTTCTCATACTGGTAAATGTATCAAATTCACAAATAGGGAAAAAGGTGAAATCATTCAGATAATTAAGAAAATGCGAAACACGAAGTTCCAGATTTCGATTGACCTCGCTTAATGTCCGTTTTGCTCGGGTACCATACGGCTATTGTTGAATGACATGGATTTGTCACATTGGAAAGTCCATAAATTAAAGGTAAAGACACATTTGTTGATGTGCCACATCAGTCAGTCTAATGGTATCTACTTACATTTCCGACGCAGCATACGGATTTTTCTGGATCGTAAGAAGTGTAACAACAGCATTTGGTATTTTTACCAGCAACACTTGGCTGAGGTTGGCCGTTCTTACAGCATACTTGCGTTTTGCTGTTTATTACTTGTGAGCCACAGCACCTCGTGTCGTCCCCATACAGTTTTGGGTTGACAATCCATAGGCAACAAATTTCAGTCTGTGGGTTGTAAGTTTTGAACCCGCACATTTCCTCTGTTAAAAGTAAAACATTAATATTTCAACTTTCAATGTATTAAAGGACTGATAGATAACTGGTATATTAATGCATCGTAATCATCTTTTAATTTTTGAAGTGACCATGTATACACCTCCGCCTGTGAAATATCTTTCAAAAACTAGAGAGACACCTGCGTCCCTACCTATCATGTATAATGTTTCATGCTCGCGATTTTTAATGTATTTATTTTATCTTGATACACTAAATTATACCAAAAGTTCATTAATATTTTTTTTTTGTATTAAATGACTGAAAGATAATTGGTATACAGTGGTATATAAATGCAACGTTATTATCTTTCTATAAATGGCTATGTATACAGCGTCTTCTGTGTCATATCCTTGAAAAAACTAGAGAGACACCTGCGTCACTACCTTTTATTGCATGTAAATGTAAAATGTTTTCATGCGATTTTATTTCTTAATGTAAATATTTTGTTATCTTGATACACTAAGATATACTAAAAAGTTCAATTACCAAAAATGTAAAGTTAGTTATTGAAGACACTGTATAACTATTAAGATTCATGAGCACAAATACGTTGAGCGCTGATTTACACATTTACTTTAACATACAACATTTGCACTATGTGTACCTTTATGTATTTGCATAATTCAAGCTTACCTTTAACGGGAGGTATCGGACGTTCTGTAACGATAGAATAAAACATTGCGTATTAAACTGAGCATTATTGCATTTTCTGTGATGTACATTGTCTTATGAATTATTCATTTAAATGCACATTATACCCCAGAAACGAGTAAATATTCCTTCTGTAGTACGGGCAAATATGAGTTTCATAACGTTTACTTAATGGTTTAAGAGCATGCTATATGCATATCACCTAAAGAAAGTAGTGCTGAATGTGAATTTATTCTTTACAATATTATGTAATATACATAAATGTAAACAAAATTGTATTTTTACTACTATACAAAATACTATATCATTATTATAACTTTATTAACAGCAAAAAAAAAGCAATAGAAGAAAAGATCGAATGGCTCGGGTTATTGGCCAATGAGTATTTTCTTTTTTTAAATACATGTATAACTGGAACCGCACACCGAAAATAAACAGCTTTTGAAAATTGAAAATAAAAGTATTTCTAAGGCAACATGGGCCTTTAAGTTCTAAGATTTAGAAACATTAGCGTCGGTTTGATCTTTATGTAAGAATAGCGCAGCCTTTTGAAATGATAGCTTAATTTTTATTAATTTTGCAGGGATATGGCACATTATATACAACTCAACACCAGCGAACCAGATGTTTTAAAAATCGCTGATACTAAAATATTTGAATTAATAACTATTAATGACAAGAAAGGTGCAATTAATTATCAATTTGAAACAATATTGATTTACATTTCCAAATTTATATTTAAAGCAGTGCTACAGATTTACGCACAAAATGTTAAAAATGCCATATTCACTCTTATATAGTTCAAATTATAAAAACACATTTTGATTGGATAACCCATTTTTCAATTTTGTTCAAGATAAAAGCATGTGATGGAAATTGATTTAATATGCTCAATCTCTGTAAGTTATGACAAGCTCTAAAATAAGCAAGAGATGTAAAACAATACTGCTTTGACAAAATTGATTTGTAAAGAACTTTTGACAGTAGTCCATAAACGAGTATTTTATGGCCAATTTGCAACAGTTACAAGTTCACTGCATGGTGTACTGTTGATAATTGGCGTTTTATCAAGTTATTAAATGATCATTTAATAAAAATAATCAACTGTAAACTAAATGTCAGACCCACAAGGTTAAAATGTTAAATACAATGGTTTAGTTAAATCTTACCGTCACATATGGTAGTAAAAAGGTCAGATGTTATTGTGGCAAGTGACTTTTCAAAGTCGTCGGCCATGAAGAAGTTATCTTTAACCGGCTTTGATACAATTTGTCTCAGTTCTTCTTCCGGTCCGTTATCGTAACTTCTTGTATTATTTATTCCAATGCCAATTATACGAATTCCCTCAGCCCTGAAAACAGTCGTATTTTGAAGTTTTTTAAAATATTTGTTTCAAACTGTACACGTGTGATTGTTACGTTTTTAAATGACATTTTATTTTTTTATGACTGAATATATTGACGTGGAATAATACCTTTATAGTCAGCGGTATGATTTTGGTGACATATAATGGTCAAACATTCCTCTAATGTCAACACAAGCGGTATAGCAAAGAGAAATAAGTGCAAATATTTCAAAGAATCGCGTGTGAAACTGTATGTATACTGAGTTATGTTTCTAAGTCGTAAAAATTTTCAAACGTCTTTCTAAAACTTATATATTATACTTTTATTGAAAAGGCTAATGTAGTGCCGTTTCATCTCTTAAGTCCATAAATGCTACTTACTTTGCGGCATTGGCTGCTGCTAACGTTCGATCAAAACCATAACATTGGCCGTCGGTCAATAAGATGATTACATTTTGAACACCCGGACGGTCACCATTTTCAAGCTGCAACAATAGAGAACAATGACACAACTTGATAAAATGTTATTTAGTCACCTGTTTCTACTAAAGTAAAGTTATACTAAAATAAAACGGTCCGGTTATGTTTTTAAACAAAAGCAAAAAAAATGCAATAATGATAATAATAATAATACAAATGAATAATAATCTTTCAGTCTGTTTAACGGCTTAAATTAATGTAAATGTCCAATTTATGATAATATTTCAATGTCAATTTATATCATTTCAACAAATTTATCAATTTTCGTTGTATTTCCTAATAATAATATGTAAAATATGTAAATCAGCATTTAGATACACCACTTAAGCAAATATTTTATTTAACGCGTTTTTTTTTTAAATTTAATTAAACTATCGTATCTAAATAAAATTCTTTATTTCAAAGGAAGACTTACCGTGAACATTTCTGTTCGGGCTCGGTTTAGAGCAAGACTGGTTTTAGTCCATCCTTTCAAAAATCTTGCATTCCAAATGGCCCTTTTGATGTCCTCTTTTGTTGTGTATTGATTTAGGTGGAAAACTATGGTGCTGTCATGGTTGTAGGTCATCAGTCCTACCCTTACACTTTTCTCGTCTTTAATGCCTATAAACAAGAATGAGAACATGGCATTTTTTCAATGCAAACTACTTTGACCTACAATGACTTTCTTTCGTCTGTCTTGTTTCAGTACATGCTGTTTTCACAAATCTGCAAATGTTTCTTACTAATAAAAAGTAACATAAAATAACATTTTCATTTTTAAATGTGGAATTCTGCTTAAGCCGGTACTTGAGGTGTTGGTGGTATCATGCATTTACCACTATTATCTATAAACTTAATCAATTTTGCCTTGTGGCTGACTTCAAAAATTTACATTTTAACCTATTGGCCTAAATATGGTCATAATTTTTTTTAATAAACTTCTTATAACTGAAAATTCTTTATCTCTGAATTAGACTAACGCGTATTCTGTTAGTCCCTGACTATTAATCTAAGGACACTGCATTTCGTCTATATCACCAACCAAACTTGATTCTTGAAAATCAGTTTTAGATTCTGACACATTTAATATAAAAAGAACTATTATATGTTAGCTCAAAGAGTCTATATGACTTATATGATTTTTTTTTATTGCAGAACATTTTCTTAATATGTGATTAGATTGATTAATTATTTAAGTACTTTTGAAACAGGTTTTGTTTTACTTTTAAACAAAGCATTACTTAGCATTCTTTTCAAAAGGAGTTTAAAGGGTTAATGAAATGTTTCGCATTTCGTTGCTCTCGATGGATTCTCGCTATTTCAGGATGTCTGAAAAATTTAATTCATCATTTTAACGCAGCACTTGCTGTTTGTGCTAAGATGTACTAGGATACGTACCGTTAACGATTCCCACCATAAACATACGCAAGTTTTTCCAGTCGTACCAGCCTATACTTTTGCTCGAATCCGCAACAAATACAATATCGCTCTTCGTTAGACCACATGCTGAAACATACCCGAGAAAACTTCTGCATCGGTTGGAAAAAACTTCTCTTTCTATTTTACATAGTTTTATGTGATACTCAAAACATAGCCAGAGGCGTAAATGAAACTCAAGTTACATTTGCTGAAATTTTCCTATAAATGCTGCATCAGTTGAAATAAACTTCTCAAATAATACATTGTTACAAGTGATATTCAAATCACAGTCAGAGGTTTGCAATCTTGTGTGAAAATAAAAAACAAGTAACATTTTATAAACTCAAATCTATGTATTCCTTACATTGTCTTACACTGATTTTTGTAGTGTGTAAAATTGTACTTGTTTGAAAAGGTAGAATATGTCTGGAACGGGTATAAAGAAATCATTTTTTCTGCTAACTTCTAAAATCAGAATATACTAGTTCTAAAACATTTGGGTTTCAAGTATAAAGTAAGTAGTGCACGCAACTTTTATTTGCAACTGTTGAAGATCATCTCAGGTGTAAGAAATCGAGATACTGCTTACAAAATATATGCAATACGTACTACAACAATCAGTTTCTAGGAATATTCCTGTCCTTTCAATAATATTTCCGTCGCAGCAAATCTTTTCAATAGGGTTGAAAGTTCCTTTATCCCCACAACAACATGTCTTTTCTCCTGTCCTTCCATAAGGTTTGCCATTACAACAAACCTGTGTGATTGGGTTTTCTCCGCAATCTAAGTCGTAATGAAATCAAACTCTGCTAATCAGTCTATAGCATGCATTTGTGATATACAAATTTCATTTAAACAATGAGAAAAAGACAATATGAATAACATGAACATACTTGCATGTGAAATATATGATATAACAGGACAGGTCAGAGAAAAGTGTTCGGACATTTTTACTCAGGGTCATGAGATATATCCTTTGCAATGGAGACAGTTGCGGGTACGTGAATAACGCGAAATCCCACCGCGGTTACGACAATTCAATGATACATAAAATATGACGTCATATATAAAATGCGACGTCTTAATCAATTCACAAAGAAAAGAAACACATTTGTCTTTCAGTCTTTATTCATATTTATGAATGCATTTATGAAATTCAATCTAATTGAATAAATTATGCATACGAACATTGAATTGAAAGGTTTCAAAGCACAGCAAATTGGTTATTACTTTTTGTACGTTTATTATATTCAAGCTAAAAATAATTTAGATTTTTTTTAAAGAAATGCTTTAAACATTTGCCTTATCCATATTTAAAATGTGTTAAATTCATACTCACATGACTCGTTTGAATGTACCTTTTTCAGACTGTGTCAATCTGTTGATATATTGAGACCTAAAAAACCTAGCTATTGCACATTTATTAAGTGTACACGAGGAGGTATTTGCAATTTAATTTGATTTGCTAAAGAAATGGCCATGATTTGGAAGTCTTATCCAGTTATTTAATTTAAAGATACATTATGCCTCAGAAACATTTTTTTTTCTTCTAAAAAGGGCAAACATAAGCTTATTTTGTTTAAGCAATTGTTTTAGAAGATGTTAGATGCTCATCATTGTAGTATTAGTGCTGAATGTGAATGAATTTATCACGAAAGAAGTAAACATAAACCAAGTAGTATTTTGAATTCAATACAACATACTAAATCAGTATAGCTGTACTTATTGCCAAAAGGCAGCAGAAACGAATAAATGACAAAAGTAACTTTTTGTAAACTACGAGAACAACAGAATTCCAAAACTAAATAACTTTTAGAAATTAAAATAAACGCGTATTATCTTAACGGGCCTTTAAATGTATGACAGTGAAACATTTATAAAGAATGCTTACGATATCTTTAATATCTTTGTAAAATATCAAAATTATGTAAACTTTGTATAATAAAACAATTCATTGTATTGAAAATAAAATAGCTTTTAGGAAACTAACTTAATAAATTAAATTCCTTGTCAAGCATTTAATGACATCGATATTTGAACAATTTGAAATTAGTCTCTTTTTTTTCTTTTTTATGTTGTATAATACTAGATGAAAAAGATATTTATTTTTGTAAAATGTGTAACAAGAATAGTATTTTCCTTATTTCCAATTTACGGTATTTTCATCATATTCAAACCTCTTTTATATAGTTAAACTTCATATCCAAAACTCTTGATAATCATCTCGGTTCACTGGTTGCCTTAAAACTCTTAAAATTCGTTACAAAAATTGGTTTACTGATTCCACTTTATATAGTAAGGTATGTAGCAAAGTAACAGTTAAAGTTTTTTCTCTTTCTCAGTCATTTTATAATAAAAATTAAGATACAGGTATATACGTAAAAACGAAATTCCTTATGTTTTTAAAGCGGATAATTAAAACACACACTTACCTAACATAGAATTATCTACCTGCATAACATGCAGTGATTCGTTAGCTTTCGAGTAATTTAAAACTGAGAAAAACGTCGACTGTATGTCCGTTGTGTATCCGTCAAAAGTAATTCTTGGCGAGCTGTTGTCGAATTTTTTTTCACATTAAGTAGCTGCCAATATATTCCCGTTAGTTTAGACGCTGATGTCATTCAAAGAGATAAGAAGTAAAATACTTGTAATATGTACTAGTATTCAATTTGAGTAGACTCCGATAATATAAAATTGAGCGGAGGCTATTCTTGTTGCGAAAGCGCCGCTTTTTCATATGAATAGAATGCGGTCTTAATCTTGTCTTGAGTTGCTGTTAGGTTTTACTTGTTTTGATACCCATATTTACTGCTAGGTATCCATCGTTGTTTAGTCAAATCCTCGGTTTTTTGTTTAATTGATGCACTGGTCGAACTTGACGTGTTTTGGAAAAGATTTGTGGTCCAGTAGTAACGTGCTAGTATTGCCGGTTTGACTCCCGCTCTTTTATTCAAAAAGGTTCTCATCTTTAAGTGTTTTACGCCGGACATTTTCAGTAACTAGAACGAGCCAACTGTATCACGCATTTACCCGAGAATTACAAGTAAATATTCAGGGTGCATCGCAGAATGGGCAACGTACTCGACAGTAAATAAAGCCTCGTCGTGAAGTCACTTGTTTTCCCCCTCTGTATTAACAAAAAAAATACATGAAAGCGACGTTTCTGTAGAGAACAAGCTAAAGGAACAGCTAGTACACTGAATCACGAAATCTTGAAAGCTGAGTTGAACAGCTGAATCTTGTTTGATGAATGGACGCCGAATAATCTTACAATATATTTTATCGTTGAAGATGTACTAAAACACGCTTTAAGTTTTAAATTTCACGTTGCTTTGAAAAACTGATTCTCAGAAAACTGCACCATGTTGGTTATATAGCTGTGCACTGCCTGTAATGTTGCGATATGTTGAGGGGCGTTCAATTAGTAATAGTTGTATAAAATATCTACAGTTAAATAAAAAGTCTAACGTGTTATGATGATTTATATCAAATTTAGATAAATTACATAATTATGTTGTTGTAGCTAATTGGTCATTATTTTGTGTGTCAATTCAGTCTAAATAGGATTTTTTCACATTGTAACTTCAAATACTAACATCTTTTTTTCCTTTTCCGATAAGCGTGTTTACGCATATAGGAAAAGTACCAGTAATACATTCAGACATGTTGATAACAAAGAATGTACCAATACACAAAATTATTGCTTTTTCTCTGAAAATTTTTCAATATTTCATTCCAACATAAAGACAATTTAAAAAAAAAAGTTATACACCAAGACAAAGAATAATTCTGGTATACATTTATGAGCCTGTGTCGATTTTTAGAAGCTTATTCATTGCAAATAAGACGTTCTAGTTTGCCTGTGGGAACTAGTACATTTCAACCTTTATTTCCCTCAGTATTTCTTGCACCCTTAAAACTTTAAGATTCCAAAACTTCATTTACTCCCCTCTGTATTGTTAACCAGATTTCGTCATGTTAGCAACGTAGATTGATGTAAGACTCTTGTAATGTGGTTATTATAGATGTTATAAGGTGATTATAGAGGTATTATATTCGCTTTATTTAATTCACAACAATAAGAGAGTTAAGCATCAAACACGTAAAACGTAAATCATTCACGACTGGCTTTGCACTTTTTTTTCTCAATGTTGACGAATAATATTTTCTCATAACCGTATAATATGATCCTGTATAGAAATTGTACACGCAGTTTTTTTTACCAGTTTTTACTTATACGGCTAAAGATAGGAATGCAAGGCGTAGGTACACTATGGCGTCCCTCCAGTATCTAAACAGCTACGGTAATTTTATTACAAGGTTAGCTTTTAAAAAAGCTAGTAGCGACTCGCTTCGTAATTTTTTCAAGGGGTGTGTTTAAATGTAAAAATGACCGTTCTGTAAGCTGAAGAGACTTCAGCGAACATCATAATAAAAGTGAAGTCAACACTGGCCCGGTGCCCGGATGGCCAGTGTATATAAGTTCAGGCCAGTGTAAATTTATGAAAAATTTGTTAATTATTTAGTAGAATAAATTCAAAACTGGAATTCGGGCCAGTAAATTCAAAATCTTAAACTCATTGACTGAAAGTGACATATAAAGTTCTCTCAGTTTAACCAAGATGAGTATGAGTATATATGAAGGTGCATGTAAACAGATTGAATGAAGAACCTATGTCTATGCACATTTACTATATGGCCTGTTGACCTTGACCACAAAATGTTAGATAGGTAGATTTCATAAAGATGTCTCTTTATACAAAATTAAGTTGTAATACATGTATGTTATATAGTATTGGAATGAGAGGCACAAGTCCTAAAGTAAACACAAGTTGTCAATCAATTCAGCCAGAAAAGCCGGGATCCTATTAAAAAATATAGGGATCCCGGAAATTGACCAGTCTAAGAAGATGTTTTTTCAGATAAGCCGGGATCCTATTAAAACATAAAGGGATCCGGGAATTGACCAGTTCAAGAATATAGTTTTCAGAAAAGCCGGGATCGTATTAAAATGTAAATAGATCTCACGGATTGGCCAGTTCAAGTATAAAGTTTTCAGAAAAGCTGGGATCGTTTTAAAAACATATAGGGATCCGGGATTTGACCAATTCAAGAAAATAGTCTTTGATTTTTTCCAATTAATTAGGCATATAATTATAAGTATTGTGATTTCGGCATTTTAAGTTTGTTAAATAAATAGCTCTAAATATATCTATATTCTAAGTTAAATTAATTTAACGTTCATTATATACAATAAAAAAAATAACGTTTAATGGCCTTTCATTACGACAACAATCAACACAAATATAGTTCATTAGGTTTTTTCTCCATATCTTATACGATCCCGGATCCCGGCGTCCCGGATCACGGCCAGTAAATAATTACACTAAATACCGGAAAGGATAAAATGACCGGAAAAAAGGAAAAATAAAAAAATGCACAGAACCAGATGTACACTTATGCTAATTAACCAAACGAAAAACTTACTACAGAGAAAACAGGTGAAATCGCTAAATCAGAAGTCAGTGTAAATATGATTTATTGTAAAGAATTCATAAAGACAAACATTTTTAATCATCATTATATCTTTGCGCTCAAACAATACTTGCTGATTTTTAAAAATGGCGTGAAATTGAAGGTTTTTTGACGCTATGTAAGATTAAATTTGATTGGCTAAATAATTTTGGATCCTAGCCCTGATAGATAAATTTTGTAGAAAGCTGGAAGCCAAGCTTCGATTAAATTTTTGGATAGCTTTGGAGTTTTAGGTTGTTTCTCAGTAAAATCCTACCGTAATACCGGCTCGCCGTGGCGAGCCGGCATAACAGCAAATCGGTGACGTCGTTCAGTATTAGTGTGCTATTGACAGAGTAAATTGGTCCCAACGTTATTACAATGTATATACGATTCAAGTAAAGTAATCTAATTGCTCTATTTGTTACTTTCAATAAGGT